TAACCCAAACAATGTTACATGGTCCAATCCAGTGTTTCTCAACCTTGGCAACTTGAAGATGTCTGGACTCCAACTCCCAGAATTCCCCAGCCAGCGAATGCTGGCTGGGGAATTCTGGGAGTTGAAGTCCAGACATCTTCAAGTTGCCAAGGTTGAGAAACACTGGTCCAATCAAGGTTGGACTGGTAACTTCATTCATCCCCTCTACAACCACCTGTGGGAATGTCCTTGGTTCCCAGGAGAAAGTATTTTCTTTTGGCTACAAATCTCCACTATCTTTATTCCTCCCCTTTCTATTCCCCAGCTCCAGTGTGGCAACACTGAAGCCTCAAAATGGCCTTGATCAGGTCAACTTCAGGGTCGACACATTTACTGAATTTAGTAAATACTACTTGAATAGTATTACAAATAACAACAATAACAACAATAATCAATATAACAGAAGGCTGATCTCATTGATGCTGGACCATCCAACCCTAGATAATGCTGTCTCACCAATAGCCTCCCCTTCAGGACTAGGAATTGATGTGAAATGCTACAGAGATAATAATAGTGTAACATCTGCCAATCCTGGATCCTTAGAAAGACTCGATAATGGATAAAAATGCCATATCCAGTCTAAACAACTGGCTGACTGTATGATGATCTATAACAATAAGAGAATAATATTAAAAGAAGAAAATAGAAAAGAACAACAAAAAGTGCAAGAAAAAGAAAGTTAAAGTTAAGAAATACTAAAATGATTTGCAAACTTCTTTTCATCAGATAATTACCCATGTTTTTCCCGAAAATAAGCCCGGGTCTTATATTTTTGGGACCACCAAAAAGGCACCAGGTCTTATTTTCAGGGAGGCCTTATTCCCCCACATTTTTCCTCCTGTACAGGGGGAGGGTGGGGGTGAGTTGCCCCTCCCACCTCGCACCTCCTTACCTAATGCAAAATAGCTGGTCTGCAGCCACTTTATGCTCCTGCATGGCCTTCATGAAACAGCTGATCTCCAGCCACTTTAGGACCCTCCTTGCCTAACATGAAACAGCTGATATGTAGCCATTTTAGGAGTCTCCTTACCTAATGTGAAACAGCTGATCTGCAGGAGTGCTCCTGCTGCCAGCTCCAAGAGCACGGCCGCGTTAGGCAAGGAGGCTCCTAAAGTGGATGCAGATCAGCTGTTTTATGTTAGGTAAGGCAGCTCCTAAAGTGGCCGCAGATCAGCTGTTTCACAGACACGCATTCAGCAGTTCTCCCCTCCCTGCTTGCCTTCTTACCTCATGTCACATCACTGCAAGCAACTAAAGGAAATGGGGGCCATCAGCTGCACAGGTGCTTAAATAGGTCTTATTTTGGGGGGTAGGGCTTATATTGAGTGCATGTGCAAATGATGTTATAGGGCCAACTTTTGGGGTAGGTCCTATTTTCAGGGAAACACAGTATAATCTGATTATAATTCTAATATAATCTGGGGGTTCATCATGAATGCTTTGGGAAACCCGGATTTAGCCATAGCCTTTCCCCTGCTTTGGCACAAAGAGGTTAAGCTATTTGAAAATCCAACCCAGTCCAGAGAACTTTCATTGTTAAAGTGCTGTAAAATTTCCCGAAGAGACATTAATCATGCAGTTAATTCAAATTATCAAGCATCAGTTCAGAATTTTCGAATTGCACCATTTTGCAGCTTCAGTCTTTCTGGTATTTTCTGTCTAAAAATAGATATGGGAAGTGGGTGAAATTAAATGAAAGAAAATTATTTGTACCCCCCAGAAGCTTCTCTTTTATCAACTGAAAGAACCTGCTAAATATGACGGATTGTTTGCAGATCTGCATGGAAGGAAGAACTGTTTCTGAACATCATTTGTAGATGGTTTATTTTTATGTTGAAGCAATTGGATTTTTTGCAAATGTAATAGAATCCTAAATAACTGAAGGTTATTTGAGAGTCACTGAAACTAGCACTCTGTCAATGGTCAAACCTTTCAGAGAGGTAGTCTTTCAGCTTTTCTTTGGAGACCTCTAGCAAGTGAGACTTTAGCAAAGAAGACTGCTCTTTAGAAGGCCAGATCCTGAAGATGAAACTCAAATACTTTGGTCACCTAATGAGAAGGAAGGACTCTCAAATAACCTTCAGTTATTTAGGATTCTATTACATTTGCAAAAAATCCAATTGCTTCAACATAAAAATAAACCATCTACAAATGATGTTCA